GCAAAACAAAAAGGTTACAGGGAGGCAGTAGCGAGGTAAGATGACCAGACACCCGTACACGGCAAAACGAACATGTAGCGAGTCGTGGCAATGGTGCAAGTTGGTTGGACAGCAAGGAGAGGGGGATCGTGGGATATGGCAGAGAATGAGGATGGCGGGACAACAACAAAACAATAAAACAGAATTTCACCACTTCATAACGAGATACAGCCAGATCGCCACTCGCACTTGGATACAAACCTAGAAGTGAAAATAGGGGACATTGATGACCGTCCTGAAAGAAACAATCAAAAATTGCGATCTAAGCACGCACGAACGCACGCACGCACAAAATGACTAGATAGGAAGAAAAGGAAATGAAAGAATTTGCTAAAATTGAAAAGGAATTGCAAATGAAGCCGCTTGATTAGGCTCTGTGTTGTTCGCGTGAGTCGGGCGCATGTGTGGTCACGAAATCACGGAAGCCCGCTTCTGCTCTTGGAGCACGAGACACCCGCGTCAGTCTCCAGTGTTTGGGGGAGCTTCGATCTCATTCTTCGAAACTTTTGTCTGCATGTTGACTGTGACGGAACTGTTGTAACCTTCTAGGGCTGAAGAATCTTTGATTGCAACCCTAAAAACACCTAGATCTCACTGTCGACTGTACTGTCTGTGAAAATGCCAGAGAAATTTTCACGGCTTGCGAGCAGCCATCCATCTCGAGTTTAACCTTCTATGTGCATGTCATCCTTGGTGAAGGAGTGGGTGTTCCTAAATCTATCATGTTGAGTCCTTCTATCAGACTGCCACGATCTCCCAACAAAAGGTAACAGATATCCATGGGAACCACATTGCACCACAACTGATCCAACAATTAGTTTCCAATTGAAAATTCCCCGAGATACCTCCTGTCAATGGTGGCCCTATTTTACTCCTTCAGCCACATCAAATAATACAACATCGAACACCTCTGAGACGAGGCTCAATTTGTCCACATTATTGTTGCTCTCTCCATTAAGGATGACTGCATACATTTCCCTTCACAATGCAACGAGTGTAGAATATGTTGATGCAAAATCACTATTGATCCTTCGTAGCCTCAGTCTGTAGGACCCGTCGAACTACAAGCATCTCGCCCTCATCCAATGGAAGTTGATACTCCTCACCCTTTTCTTCTGTTGTCTCTTCGTCGCTAACTTCCTTCACTGCACCGTACTCGGTGAAGGACAGAACTCATCTCGTTGGGAAACTAGAAGCGGTGTGTCAAAAACCATGGAATTTGAAGCATTTCCTAATTGGGACTATATTGGGGGTGCTGCTCTTCTCAAATTTCTTCTCACGTTGGGCAGCTTTAGCATTCTCTTGACCAGACTTCTCAACTGCTTTAGGTGTGCTTCTACAAATATCTTTAACTATGAGTGGTTGTCTGAATGGCAATAAGTATATGCACCGTTTTTGCTATCTCTACAGCTTCAGTGTTAAGGTTTGAATATCATTCAGAAAATAATAAGGTCGTAGTTGAACCACATTGTCGATGACGGGCTTCAAACATCACAAGAACTTGGCTATTGTATGCTCTTCTGGCTCCATTAGATCACGTTTCAGCTTACGCTGCATAAACTTCGTTGTGTGCTCCTCCACTGATAGGTCCCTCTATTGCAGGTGGTGAAGCCTCAAGAAAAGCTTCCAACATTAGTATGAGAGTAGCTACTGTCATTGCAACTCTCTCTTCATCTTCTCTAGGATAGTAATCTTGCTTCATCCTTCTTTATTTATCTCCCTCTCCCAATTTTCCCACCACAATGAAGCACTCTTCTTCAGCTTAATAACAATAAGCTTCACTTTTCGATCATCTGGCACATCTTTGTATTCAAAAACCCACTCCACGGACTCCAGCCATTCTATGAAGTCGTCTGTATTCATTCACCCCTCGAAATCCAGTATATTCCCTTCTACTCTCGAGTTTTTGTATCCTCTAATATGCACTTCATCTATCAACCTCCTCTGATAGTGAATCCCAAAGCTGTGTTGCCTATCTTTTTCTCCACTAGATTCATCCCTCGGAAGGGATTCAAGAGTACTCCCTCTCTCCTCGTCGGATCTCGCTACTACACTCGATAGCGACCTCTCCATGGGCAATTTCCTTAATTTTATTGAGTTGTTGCAGCACTCGACAGAGTTGTCATTGTATCTCTTCCATGGTAAACACCAGATAGGGTCTTCGACAATTGCCTCTTTGGTGTCGTGGTTAGTGTTATGGTTTAGGTTTGGGTTAGTAGAAATATGTGCATAGGGTGATGTAGGGCGAGAAAAAAAATTTTGGTTTAGATAAAGAAATTTAGGCAAACCTAGGGAAAACTAGAGTTAGAATAGCTCTGATACCAAATAATATCAGTGTTAAACTCAAACAATAAAAGGAAAGGAAATATTATTTTTGAAAGTAAATAGGAGGTTACAAAAGAAACCCTGAAAGAGAAATAACAACTACAGACATAGACAAATACAACTAAAGTTGCATCCAAGGAATGGTAGTTGGTGGTTGGTGGTTTTTGATGGTCCGAAATGGTGATGATGAGGTAGAAAGGCGAAGTAAGTGGGTGGGGACAGTGGGAAAAGAAAAGATGTTAGCTGTCCAAGATGGCAGCAAGCAGGTAGGGTGGCAGGGAAGCAGTGAAACAGCAAAAAAAAAGGGTTACAGGGAGCCAGTAGCGAGGTAGGTTGACTGGACAGCCATGAACAGAAAAACGAAGGGGTAGCAGGTTGCTGAAATGGTGCGGGATGGTTGGACAGCATGTAGACAGCAAGCCAAAGGAGATGGTGGGATTGTAGCAGCTAGTCGAGATGGCGGGACAGCAGCAAAACAGCAAAACAGCAAAACGGAAAAATTGTGTGGCTGCAGCTGTTATGTAGGACAGCTGAGGGTGGAGGGGGTTGAGGTTGGATGGTAGAAGACTAAGAGGAGGTAAAGGAAAGTGCAGGGGAAGCTTGGAGGCTGCAGCGACAGCAAGGAGCTGCTTTGCAGGGCGGCTGTAGCAGTGAGTAGATGGAAGCTGTGAAGGAAGGATGCGGGAGAGGAACCCGAAGATAAGTACCACCTAGAGAGTGAAATACAGTTGGAGCATTACTCGGTCCTTGGAGGATAATCACCACCTCGGAACAAGATACAGCCGAAACACCACCGCTCTTGGATACAACTCTAGAAGAAAAAATAAGGGCCGTCGATGGCTGTCCTGATAGAAACATAATCGAAAACTGAACTCTAAATCCTAATACAACAAATGAAAAGAATGGAGGAAACTTGCTAAAATTGGAAAAGAATAAAAAACGGGGCCGCTCAGTTTGTTTCTATGTTGTTTGCATTAGTCAGGCATGCACGAGGTCACAGAATTGCAAGAAACCCGCTCCTGCTCCTCTAACGGGAGACGACCGCATCAATACCCACCTCTTACCATACACAAATAATGGGAGGATTTGAATAAAGAATTTATTTGAGAAATATCTTGCATAGTGTGGGTACGGCTATTCCTATAGTTATGCCCCATTTGATCAATAGGTTAACTGTCATAGTCATTTCCAAAATATGATTAATTGAGAAACCCAAAACCAATAAAATCCTTATATATAGAGCAAGTGAATTTGCCTCATCATGTGTGCAAAGCGTATATGACTTTCACCAAAAAATTTAACAAAATGTGTTGGTGAAAATGAAAAATATAAATTTAGTGCGACTTTACAATGAAATTTATTAAATTAAACATGAGAGATATGAATATATAATGTTAGTGAAACGAGGCCTAAGAGGCTTCCTAATACTAGATCTCTCAAAAACTTAAATGCAAGAAGCCCTATACCATATGAGATAGACAGATAAATGGTATGCATATGAATTCAATCTTCCATTGAATGTTGGGAGTTTCTAACATTTAACCTTGAAAAGTTGCCTTTACATTATAAAAATACAACCAAAATTATTATCAATAATCATGCAAGTACTTTTCCTACAAACATGCAAATAAACTCCTTGGATTTCTTTATCACAAGCACCATTGTCAACTCATCGTATTAGATCTCATCATCTGGATAAAAACTTCATCAAGCAAATCATTTCTTGTAGATGAAATCCAATGGTACCTTATTCGGTGGAATGGTATTTCATTATCAGATGATTAATATTTGAAGAAGTTCAATCACCTTTTACTAGACCTACTTCAAGAATATCAGGAGCTTCATTCACCAAAAGAGAATCTTTCAAAAAGGGAACTAATGTAGTGTGTTATCGTCATAGACATTGGAACTTTGCATCAAGGGTCAATTCAACGTATTTTATTTTGAGTGACATTTGCATGACAAGATTTTATGTATGATGAAACACTAACTTGCCCTCTTCCTTCAAGCCAATTCATTCCCCCCTCTTCTTTCTCCACATAAAATCCATTGGCCTCCTTCCACTTTAAGAAAATATATAAATAAACATCTTGGAACTTCAATGCAACCCTTCAAATATTCCGCTATAACTACTCCATTTCTCCTTCCACAAACCCAGGGTTGGCCAAGTCTCTACAACAAAGCTATTCTGTTACATCACCCAGATGTAATGGCAAGTTTTTTTTACTTCTCTTTGCATTTCTCGATCTCAGTTTGTCACCACTTATTTCACAAAACAAAAAAATATAACTTCCATTAAGTTCCATCTCCACATGAATTTTAACTAGCAACTATTGATAACAGTAGTTGGTTTAAATTGAGGGGCACGATGAAAGTTTACATAGCATAACTTCATAACAAGCATGCATGTTAGCACGTATGTCTGCATGCAACTCCTCAAAGATTTCAAACCCATGATCTAATCTGAGAATAGCCAATGACTCTTTTGCGCATTAGTTAAATTGACAAAGAAAAAGCAAAAGAAACAGTCATGCAAAAATATCGAAAAAAATTAACCAATAAATAAACATATGAGAAACAAAACACGGTATGTTTAACATAAGATCAATGTGCCAAATTAACTCTAAACCATATACCAGATTATTAGATGAACCATTGTCCCCAATAGCCTGCAATGAAGATTTGCGTGGAATATTTACATCTGTAAAGCTTGAAATTGTGCAACCATTATTGACACCATATAGAAAACTTCTTGTGTTATCACCTCCGGGCAATGTGGATAAATTTGAAGTTTGCAAAGGTACATATGCCGGTGGTGCATCAACTCTACCTGGAAACATCATCATTGTCTGCAGAGAAAATGGCCGCAAACATAAAAGTTCAGAGTAGGCAGTTTGATGAACGTAGCAAAATATTACATATGCATCAATCAACTAACAAAAATCCATGCCATCAGCCATTTCATCTAGACCACAAATATAATATTTACAATCAAAGAGGGTCAAGAAGAAAAAGTTAAACGAACAAATTCAGAGATTAAAAAAATTTAAATTGCATTTCAAATCATCGTAATCCAAAAAAATTTCGCTTGTGTTTACAAAACAAATAAAAATAGATAATTTGGCCAACTGCAGGCATGAATGGAGAGTCAATTTTCATTATAATGCAACCATGCAAGACTGCCACTTGAGAAAGACAAGATTTCAACTATAGAACGAGGAACAAAATATAATCCACTATTAACTTCTGCCAGCATTGTCATAAGAAAAAAAATGTTACCAGGAAGCATTTGATGCATTTGTTAACGGATGATACTCATAATCATGGATGATCATTACAATAAAGTTAGGCAAGTAAGAAGCCCAGAGGTTTATCAGCTTTCAAACCATAAAATGTTAGTGCAAGAATGCTCGCCATCTTTTTAGATGAGGTGCATTATATAACCAAAATAGAAGGATGATTGTCTGAAAAAGATCATTTTGCTCCAACATAAAATTCAAAAAGAATTTCAATACCTGCTCTCTTGCAACTTCCTTCTCCCATTGTATCTGATATTTCTGCAGTAGTGTAACGAGAGTTTTTTTAATATCAGCGGAGAGGTCAACTGGAAAGAGCTTCTGTATGTCCTCTTCAGAAAGTTTTTCTTTAGAAACTTTTCTGATGATCAAACGCAAGCAAGACAGAACCTAGAATTGAAACCATTGTGTTTATTATCATGAAATAGATAACAGCTGGTTAGAGCAAAATAGGAGCATAAGATGTTGGTAAAGGAAACACATCAGTTCTCTGTAAAACTGAATTTCTTACTCTTACATATAAAGAGTTTCTTTTATTAAGAAGACTTTACTTTATTCTCAAGTTGGTTGGGACTGGACTGCATAGCTTCAAAAAGTAATTTGAATGCTACTTGTTACTTTTTGGGTAAATAGTATATAGCTATGAATACTGGTATACTAAGTATTCTATCTTGTTATATTTCACAACATAGCTTCCTAAGTCAAACCATGGACAAGAAATTGAGAATTCATTCTTAGAAAAGGATAATGCCATGCTCCTCAAACATATCAACATTAAGATGGGGCAGTCAAACGCAAATTTAGTAACTAATTAAAAAGAAAAGTTCCAAAATGACCCATAACTCTTTGTTAAGGGCCATTTTAGTCCAAAATCCAAGAAAAATGTCAAATTAGTCTCCATGTACTTTTAACATGGATTGAAATAGTCCACAAACCCTTTTAAAGAGATGAATACTCCAAACCCCAATTAAGTGGTTTGGGGACTAATTTAAAACATTTATAAACCTCAGACTGAAATGACTCTTTGTAAATAGTGAGAAAATAAATTTGGTACTTATCTCATTAATTAACTAAAAGAAATACACGGACTCATCTTTCATCTCTCTGCTAGAGCTCAGCTTGATCTCTACCTACCTTCTTTAGTATGTATGTATTGATATAAATAGGAATAGATAGGGGGCGCTCTTCTTATAAAGATTTTAAGATTTTTAAGAGTTTCCCATCTCTCACAACAATATTAAGAAAATTTAAACATAAAATTATTAAATTTTTATGAGGGCTTCATTTCAAAGAAGAACCATCTTCTTCCATGCTTCAAAGAAAAAAAAATTTCTCCCATTTTATAGTAGTATTAAGCATATAGAAATTACCACACAAGTCATCCAAACTTGAATGGATTCATCAAACCATAAGAAAAAAGCATTGACAAAGCATAGGGGAAAAAAAACTGATTACAAATTTTCCAGTCTGAAGTACAAGTAGCATTATCCAATCATAGGAAACTCATCTACAATTAAATAAATCAGTGAACATATAACGAGTAACAGTCGAGGAACATCAAAAGCCCAGATGCTCGAAACGAAACATACTTTCATTTAAAAAAAAAAGAGAGAGAAAGCCAATCTACCAACACCATTTCATTCGACCAATAATCCTTTTGGTTATAATGCTATTCAGTTCAAGAATGAAAAACTCCCTTAGTACGCCGCAGGATTACGACGACGGTTAAAATTTTTTGGAGCCAAAAAAGGGATCAACCCCTAGATATCAAGAAATAGAGAAGCAGTAGTGGCAATCTTACAGGGTCCAGCTCCCCGGAAACCGGGAGATTGAGGAGGGATTGGACATGCGACTTCTGGAGGGGGGAGAGGCCTGATTTCCTCGTCTCCCACAGGGTTTCGAGGACGCTGACCAGAGATACCTTCGACGTCGCTGGAGATAACTTGTGTAGATGGATTAAGAGATTGGTCGCTTCCATATTCTCTATGAGATGGGAAAATAGAACAGACGAGCAGGCAGGCTGGGAATTATTTAGTGCGTTAAATTGGTATTCTGGCGTCTGCCGTATATTTTGTTCATCAACAAGATAATTATATTTGTTATATGATAATTTAGGATTTAAATTGTTTGAAAATGTGCATGATCATATGGTAAAGATTTATGAGTTAATTTTTACCAATTTTGCTTAAATTATTTGGAAGAAATATTCATATATTTATAAAAATTTTGAGTTATATCAGTTGGATGTGGTCATAAAAAAGATTTTATTTTGTATATGATGATTTCTTTTGTATATCATGAAACTCTTCGAAGAGAATTTATTTTTGGGCAAGGATAAGTCCAAATTTTCAAACTACTATCTTGATATTTTCATTTTCCTCCCTTTTTTGTTACCTTCTCTATGTTTTTCCCCCTAATTTGTCTAAAACAAAAATGATATCAAAGCTATCACTTTGAATCATTGTAACAGCAATATTGTTTTCAAATTGATACCAAGAAATTTTTTATATTTTTCAAAAAGTTGAGATATTTCTTTCCATTTGTGCTACGAACAAAAATATTCAAATTATTGTTTATCATCAATGGTGATGTCGCCTCTACCCTTATTTGTTTCTAAACCTATTATTTGTCCTCTAAATATCCTTAGAATCATGCCCTTTTAAATAAACCTCATTTTTTATTTCCTCAACAACAATGATAACAAGGCTTTTTCCCATTAAGTGGCGTCGGCTACATGAATTCTTTTTCTCCATTATGTCCATTGAGCCACAGAATGATATAAAAGATTCATGTCTTTATTATTTTCGACAAAAATTTTATGCTAGTTGTTAACTATCTAAGACAACCTTCACTTTTTGCATGGCAAAACTAAAATAATGATAAAAACAAAAAAAAAAAGAGAAAACTTGTGGACACATAGTAGCTCAATTACTAAAAAATCATAAATTTAAGACCAAAACATGGGTTTAAATCCATCATTAGTTAAACACATGCTTTGATACTCTCCATTCAGCTAAAAATGAAAGAAATAAACTTTCATTAAATTTCAAATTAACCTCAATTTTCCATTCATCTTCATTACATAGTCTCGCTTACTTTACAAGACATTCATATTCCTTTGATTATGCGATTTAAATCTTCTCGAAGTCGTTATCAAAATCAAGTCATACATAAGGATTGAATTATTATATTGTAAATTGGCAAATTTTTTGTTAAGCATTGCAATGAGAATTAACAGTGACTAAATTATTTTAAATCTTATTGCATGTCCTGATTTGCATTTATTTTCACTAAAAATGACAACTCGTGTTTATATGTCTACACTTGCATGATTGAGGGTCCGTTTGGGGCAGCTTATTTGGTGCGGTGGCGTTTTGAAAACGCACCTGACCTGTTTGGGTAAACTGCGTTTTGGCATCTTTATGCATTTTGAAAACGCTAAAAACAGTGTTTTCACACCACACCTATCTAGGTGCGGTGGCAGCTTTTTGGTAGCGGTCTGGCTTTTCCCAAAAAATAAAAATTTGTAATAGCCACCGCACCTAACTTATCAGCAGACTATTTTTAATCAGTTTATCAACAGATTATTCAATAAGCTGCAATTGCCCCAAACAGACTCTAAATTTTCTTTCACATCTTCTAGACACATGTGAACATATTAATGTTTAATAAAGTTTTGTTTGTGAATATAGGTAATTTTTTATTGTTAACAAAATAATAAGATCGACATAATATTTGTTTAATTTGCTAAAAACAGGATGCAGTACAGAATGAATATATTGTCGAAGTAAAATATCTTTTTTAGAATTTGTCTAAATTTAACGAATTCCAAGAACTTTAAATACATTGAAATTTATACTACATTTATTTTTTGCTGACTAAGAGCTTAAATTCATAACTCCTATAAAAAAAATGCAATGCAATCCTTCAGTTATCGACCAAATAACATATTTCTACAAACTGAAGATTTTTGAGCCATCACATGAGGTATAATCATATGAACTCATTGTGTCTATGGATACATATATAAGAAAAATTTTAACACACTTTATTTTGATTTTACTTGAAATATTGAAAAATATTAAGTGATAATAGAAGATAACAAACATAGAATTTTATATTCTTTTCATATTTTGATATGCCTTAAATTGATATGACTTAATGGTCGACTATAAGCCATCTTTATTGGATTAATTAGATGACTTGGATTATATTTTGAACACCTTAAGATTGATGAAAGGTGTATTAAAACTTTATGTTAAATTTCAAATAGTTTGATGGAAGGTTCAAACTACTAATTTATTATTACATAATCTTATAATTATATAAAACGTAGATGTTATGTTATATATGTAATTCCTTCAACTATAAATATGTGTCTCCATGACATTGTTGTAAATCAATTAATCATATTTTACATTTCAGGTTAATATGATATGTTTTAAGTAGTTTTGTCCTGTTATATAAATATATTTGCTTGAAAATCATGAATTATTACATCTAGATTCACCAATAATCTTACAAAACTATTGGGTATAAAATAATCATTAATTTACATGAGGCAACAAATGAGACTAACTTTGAGCCTTAAGGTTTAAGTTTTATCCCGAGTGCCTTCTTTCTTCTTATATTTTTTGTTTCATTCCATCATGCTTTAAAATATTAAACTTTATAGAAATAATAGTCCATAAAATTTCTCAGTCCCCTTTAGATGTTAAGATAGATGAAAAAATAATGTTTAATAAAGATTAACATTCTAATTTACATTCTATTTATGCTTGAGACCAGTAGATGTTGAAATAGTGCCCTAATGTCAGCACAAGGTTGATTTTAAATTTGATAATTATTAATTATTTAACAAAGAAATGTTCTAATTATTTTTTTTCAACCGTTATTTCACAACCTTATGTATTTTAAAATAATTTGAAACTATAATATCAAATAATATTATTTACTATTATTAGAATTTAGACATGATTACTTTTCAAGAAAATAATTCATTTGATAATAAATACTTAAGAAAGCTTTGTCGGTCACCTTTTTGGGAAAATGCATTTTTAATTATATATATATATATATATATATATATTTTGTATATTTTTATCTCTAAATTTTCTAATTTACCAAATTTATTTAATTTACTGTTACCTTCCCCAGTAACGGCGCTAAAAACTTGACCAACAAAAATATAGTTGTGTAAAATTTATAAATTTGACTCCACTTTACAACGGTGTCAAAAACTTGATGTGGTATTTTATAATTAATAACGCTAAGCACTTAATTTTGGTATTCTATGCAAGTATACGTATCGTTATCAATTAATATAAGACTTTTGTTTTAAGTCCCAAATATGGTTCTCGCGAGGAAGGTTTAGATTTAAAATGATAAATTAACTAGGAAATTCACATAAGTAAAATGAAATTACTGTCACTAATTTCAAATGTTTAAGATAATATCAAAGCTAAATTATTAACTACTAAACTATGCTTATGTGATGAAGTTTTCTAATATTCAAAAGCTTCTTTTCCACTACAATGAATTTTTCGGTGAAATGAGATGAGATAAATAATTTAAATATGTATTATGCCAAATAGGAGCAATTTTAGTTCTCTACCCTGATTCAGTGCTATAGAAAATTATTGGCTAATCTTATGTTTAGTTCCTAATACATATAATTTTGAAAAGTAATAGTTTAATTTTGAAAATATGAGACCAAACTGATCCCATATAGACAATAGTTTAGATAAACGAGCACAACACCGTAAGCGATGTGTCTATCCCGAGGAATATACACGTTACTTGCTAATGAGGCTTTATTAAATAAACTAAAGAATTTATGACATCTGTTTTAGTCTACGAAACTATTTATGTTGACCGACAAATCTCCCCTATCTAATATAAAAGATTATATAAGGTTTATATTAGACTGTGTTCTAAAGTTTCCTATAAAGCAAGCCTCTATAGTTAATTACATCTTAGACAATCGAAATCGCCTAAGAAAACTCTCGATTTAGATCAAAAAATATTTGTATATAAAATTTTAAAGTTTAGGAATTTTCAAGGTTGAACAAGGAAGCATCAAATGGAAAAGGCTCAAGTTTGAACATTTATTATGGAATCCGAAGGAAGAAAACTAGGGTATGTCACGGATCCTGAGGAGAACATCGGTGACTTCCCAAGTTATCATATGGTTTGACTTCAATTTCGAAGATCTATTAATAAATATTTCATCATGCCAATTTCATTTATTAGGGATTACATTTTCATGATGTAATCATACAAATAGCCTGGAAGAAATGAGGGTTTATGTCGTAACGAAAGACAACCTCAGAGCCTAAAGCGAGTTAGGGCCTAAATTGCACAACATGGTTGTGTAAGGCCTAAAGATGAGGTGAGGATTTATGTTGCGCTAGGAAAATAACCTTGAAATCCTATGAATTATTATTTATTTCTAAGAGAAGATTGTTGTTGTAGATCGATTTGGTGTTGTAGAATTTTGTCCTCAGTTGGCTTTAGCTTGCTCCAAGCTCCAGGTTCAAAGTTCAAAAGGTTTCACCATGTATGTTTCAATGTTTTGGTTTTGTTGTTCAAATGTTTTATTGGGGGGTTTAAAGTTGATTAGAGCGACGTCGACTAGGATCCCACGGTTCCCTCATTCTGATACCACTATTTTTATTTGAATTTACTTAGTCAAAATGAGTTGTTAAGCGTATTTAAGCTAGGGAGATCTCGTTAGCAACCGTGGGTTCCCTCATCCGAGAGACTCCCGTAAATCCAAAAGAACGTATTATGTTTTTTGTTTTATTTTAAAAAAGATGTTGTTTTAATTTTGACTTAACTAAAATTTAATTAGGGCATCAAAATTCAAAATTACCATTTTGCCCCTAGGGCTCTCCACTGCATAACTCATCAAATACAATTCAAATGAATTAGAAATTTTTATGGCACCTCACTCATGGGTCAATTAAAATATCAGAGGTGAAATAATGATTTTCTTATTTTTACTTAATTTTTAATAATTATTTTAGCTCAAAAATAAGAATTTTTAATGTTACTT